CCCGATTCTCCTCCCCCCACCCCCTCCCACCCCCGCCCCGCGACTCTGCACTCCCCAGCTCTGCCCCCGCCCCTTCAGGAAGAGAGCAGTCGGAGATCTGATCTCTCCGGGGCCGCCGCGCCAGCACCAACCCCTGCGTCCTCCTTTCCTTCCACCCAACCGGGAAGGGAGCGCCGGCGGCCGCGCGCCCGGGGCGGGGCAGGTCTTAGCGGGCGGCGCGGCCTCCCCTCCCCTGGGTTCTGGGCGAATCACGCTGTTCCTGGGATTTCACGGTCGAGTGGCTCTTGCGTAACCCTACGTCCTGGCCTAAGCTAATACTTTTTTAAAAAAAATTTTTTAATACCAGGATTAATCCTTTAGGAAACGGCAAATACTTCCGCCCCCCGGAGCCTGCCCCCGGGGGGGGGGGGGAGGAGTGTAAATTACCAGGCTGACTCGGTTCCCTCCCCCACCGCCCCGGGCGCGCCTGGCCACCGGGGTGAGGGCCCTTGGAGAGGCCGGAGGGCGCCCACCCCGGACGTTTGTTTCCTTCCACTCCGAGGCGCCTGCAGCGGGAGGCGGCCCTCGCTCCAGCGGGCAGAAGAGCCGGGTCCCGCTTAGGGCAGGGCTGAGTGTTACCAAAAAAGGGCCTTCTCTTGCCCGAGCGCTTGGCAGCGCGCGCTGCAGCGGGGGTGATGCGAGGTTCAGCCCGGGCCTCCTCGAAGAGCCAGCCAGCTGGCTGCAGGGATGCCAGGCCTGAGGCCCCCGCCAGATCCATCTCTCGGCCACACACGGGCGGGGGCGGGAGGAGGAGAGAGATTGCAGGGAGCTTCGCTGCGACCTTCTCACCCCTGATGTCGGGTTGTGGCCTCCGGAAAGGCCGAGTGGAGAGCTGACCTTGTGTTCCAGTTAAGAGCAGGGTTCTCTGAGGGTGCCAGCTCAGATCTCAAGCTGGGGGTGGGGAGACAGTCCCCACAGGAAAGACCTTACGGGAGGACTGCAGGCCCTTCCTCCTGCTCCTGGTCGAGTCTTGGCTCTGCTGACCTCTCAGACCCCAGCGCCAGAACAGTCCCTCTCGCTCCACCTGATGTCTTAAGTGGAGCAGCCCCCCTGGTTCTCCCACTGGCCCGTTCCTTCCCGCTGTGGACACAGTATTGTCATGTGGGATTCAGGGACAATCTTTCTCCAAAACGTCCATGTTCTTCCCTCTCACAATCCCTGGCACAGCCCTACACAGGGCCATCTCAGACAAGCATTGTCTTCATAAATAATGCTGATTTTTTTTTTTTTTTTTTTTTTTTTTTTTTAGGGCAGGAAGGGTATCAAGAGAGCTATGCTTTTTAAATTAAAGGGTTAGGAGACTTTAATGGAAGTCTGTTTAAATGCATGTTTATTTCTAACTTGGTGTGTCTAAAGATACCTCGTGTGTGTGTGTGTGTGTGTGTGTCCTTTAGTAACAGGGAAGACGGGAGACGTGTATGCACATACCAAACATAACATTATGAGAGAATCCAACTTGCTTTCTCCTGCAGCCTGGCTAGATAGGGTTGGGGCTAAGTTGCTAATCCTCAGTATTTTTGGTTTAATAAAGGGATGGGCTGTACAAATATTAATGTAAAGAAATGGGGAGACCAGACTAGCCAAAGCAAAGAGCCTTGAGTTTTGGGCTGATGGGGCTGTCACTCCATTTCCCAGCCCTATGTTTTGACTCACTCCAGGGTAGCTGTGGTGTGGGGAGGGCTGAAGTCTGAGAGGGTGAGGCAAGGTTCCTGGAGCTGCTCTTTGCAAGAGGAATCACTGCCCAGAGCCAGCCAGGCCAGGGAACGTTTATTATTGTTGGGGAGTGCACAGTGAGCTCACTGTTTTTGCAAAAACAGAAATCTGGCTGCTTTGAGATGAAAGAGGGGCTCCCTAGGGCTCTTCCTCTCCCCTTTCTCCCTATCCTTAAAAACTCCTCTACCTTCGCACCTAGGGCCCAGAATTAGTGGGAGATTGGGTGCTGGGAGTGCTGGATGGGGGAAATAGGCTCTGAAGGTCAAAATAAAGATAAACACTTCTCGCTGCTTCAACTGAACTTTATTACAATTAGTAGTAATGGTAGGAACAATGTTCTTTACAGTTTATGTAATTTACAAAGTACTTTAACCTGTTAACTATCAATAAGAATAATACACAACACTTACCAACAGCTTCCTACAAGCCTTGCACTGTGCTCTGCATACTGTATAGTAATTTATGTTACGGTCTGTGGCAGTGGCAGGCCCACAACTTCTGTATTTGGAAGAACTCAGTTGTGCTCAGTCTCTTTGGAAGGAGAGAATTGGAGTTTGGCTATAAAGGTGTCTTTGCACAGTACTTTACAGGAGATTGCATGTAATAAAGAATTAGGGTGGAGGGCTGATGGAAAATGTGAGCATCCCAAATCACCTCTGAGAACCCAAGCTTGTCAAAGTCACCTCTCAAATTAGATTTACTGGATTCAGCTCTCAGCGCCCTCTCTAATGGCCACGTGACCTTCCACAAGTTATTTAACCTCAACTTTCTGAGCCTATCAATCAGAGTTAATAATAGAATCTACCTGTAGATAACATGGAGGGTTTAATGATGATATAAGTAAACCACCTACCGGCGTCTGGCTCACAGCTAGTCTCGGTGACTTACCTCCTTATTGAGATAAGAAACAAAATGAAATTTCAAAGAGTTTTAATATGTTGGGCGCTATTATCCCATTTTGCAGATGTGAGGTTAGGTGAAGATAAGTAACTAGTTCAAGGTCACAGAGCAAGTACAGCAGGTCCTTCAATAAGGCATTGCTTTCAAAGCCATTTCTTCATAACAGTGATGTTGACAAAGAAATACTGTAGGATCCTTACTCTTGTTTATGACAGTTAGCCTATGGTAAACTTGATTTTGCTTAAGGTCATAGAACCTATTGATGATGATAAGCGAGGTCTTACTGTAAGTGATAAAGAGGGAATTCCATCCTGGTCTGCCAGGCTCCAGAACCTGAATTTCCTATATTGCCTCCATCCCTACCCAGGATTATCTCAGTTTTTATGATGGGAAAAAGGCAAAATAATAACAAAAAGCACCCCAGACCCAATACTTAAAAGAATCAGTGATGAGAGCTAAGAGCAACATAATCTGTTCTGCAATAAGCAATCTGAGGAGCAGTGATCCTGTAGCAGAAAAGAAATCACGGTCTTGCTCAGCCTTCTGGGCTCCACGGAATGAAATCACAGCACGTGAGAAATAACTGTGTAAATTGTGCTGTGCTTTACAAAGAGATATCAGTATTATTAAGTGCTGCCCCTACCTTCTTTTATCAAACCCGTAAACACCACTCACCTGTTTGGCCTCTCCGGCAGCTCTCCCTCCCTGCCCCCAACCGCAGCTGTGCGCAGCCAGTTGACTGTTTTCCTTAAGGCCTCCGGGTGCTCGTAGCTTCTTTAGACATTCAGCCAAAAATTTTAGACTGCGGCTTGCGGGGGGAGGGGTAGCTCACCCTGAATTCATTTAGCTCCGTCGCTGAAGCTCGGTTCCTAGACTAGTACACAAAAACAAGTCGAAAAGGCAGTTTCTGGAAGGATGGAAAGCAGCGAATGTTGCAGGTGTTCCAGTTGTTATCAATGAATGTAAATAGCCATGCCGCGGGGGATGGCGGGGGTGGGCGGGAGGTTTGATCGCAGATGAAACGGGTAATACCTCTAGATGCGATTCACAGCGAAAAAATTTGAAACAGGACATTTACATTCCCTGCCCGAGGTTGTTGGGTGGGAAGCGAGATCGGAAATGAGCTTGCGGTTTTTAAATGCATTTTTTACTCGGGAAAAGCCGGGCGAGGAAAGGAAAGGTCATCGTCTTGTTTAATTTCCACCCCCCAGCCCTGGACTTCCAGCCTTAGCTCGCGCCGAGCCTCAGCTGTTGTACACACACCACGGCGAGGGGGGAGGGGAGGGGAGGGCGGAGGCGCGGAGGAGGGGCCGGTGGGGAGGAATCTGGGCGCCCTGCCGCGCATGCGCCTTGCTCGAGCAACAAGTGGGCTCCACAGACAGAGGAAGTGTAAGGGGGGGGTGGGGGGGAGAAGAACTGGTGCAGAGCATGGTGGTGACGTCAGCGCTCCGCCCGGGCGGCATCCCGCGCGGCCAAGCCGGGGACAGCGCGAGCCGCAGCGCGAGCGGGAGCGCCGAGTCGCGCCTCCGGAACGTAGAGTAACAATCACAACCCCACATTCCGGGCGAGTGCAAGCGGCGGGAAGGGATGCGCCCCGGGCCCGGGCGCCGCGCGAGTGCCCTGCAGCCAACGTGAGCGCCGCCGGACGCGGCCGCCCGGGCGCCGGCCTGGTCTGGGGGCGGCGGGAGCCTGCGTGCGAGCGCTCCTCTCTCTCTGCTCCGGTGCGTCCTGGAAGCTGCGGCCGTGCCAGCCCAGCAGCCCGCCAGCGGAACCGCCGACGCCGCGGAGGGGCGAGCCTCTCTCGGTCCTCACCCCCTCCCTGCCCCGGCCCTCCAGGAAAAGCCGCGACTTCAGCAAGATTGGACCCGGGCGCACCGGGTGGCACTGCACCCTCTAGCCCTCGCCCCGGGGAGCCTGGCGGGGAGAGGACGCAGCTCGTAGGGGGGAACCCGCCAGGGAGAGCTTCCACTCACCAGCCACTCCGGGGAGGGGGCCAAGAGCCAACGGCGGCCGGCACCGGGTACCCTCGCCCCCTCCCCCCGGGCGGGCCTGGAGCTTCCAGTTCGAGTCCGCCGCACCAGGAAGAAGGCGCCCGCGCTCCCCTCCGGACCAGACAGCCGCAGTCGGAGGTGGGGGCGAGGAGCGGGCTGAAGTCGTCCGCCGCCCGGGGTGGCGGAGCCCTCGAGGAGAAGCACTGCGCCGCCGGCGGTGGAGAATCGCGCGCCCTCCAGCCACAGGGGCAGAACTTTCTCGCCCCCCCTCGCTCCCCCGCAGCCGGACTCCCTCCCCAGCCGGCCGGTCCTCCCCGAGGAGAAGAAGGCTCCGCGGAGGCAGCCCGGGCGGGGGCCCACCTTCCCCGGGGCCGGCATCATGTCGGCGGCGCAGGTGTCCTCGTCCCGGAGACAGTCTTGCTACCTGTGCGACCTGCCTCGGATGCCATGGGCCATGATCTGGGACTTCTCGGAGCCCGTGTGCCGTGGCTGCGTCAACTACGAGGGCGCCGATCGCATCGAGTTCGTGATCGAGACCGCGCGCCAGCTGAAACGGGCGCACGGCTGCTTCCAGGACGGCCGCTCCCCGGGGCCGCCGCCGCCCGTCGGGGTCAAGACGGTGGCCCTGTCGGCGAAGGAGGCGGCGGCGGCGGCAGCGGCGGCGGCGGCGGCCGCTGCACAGCAGCAGCCACAGCAGCAGCAGCCGCAGCCGCAGCTGAACCACGTTGACGGTTCCGGCAAACCCGCCGTGCTGGCGGCCCCGTCCGGCCTGGAGCGCTACGGCCTGAGCGCCGCCGCCGCTGCCGCCGCCGCCGCCGCCGCCGCCGTGGAGCAGCGCAGCCGCTTCGAGTACCCGCCGCCGCCGGTGAGCCTGGGGAGCGGCAGCCACGCCGCGCGGCTGCCCAACGGCCTGGGGGGCCCCAACGGCTTCCCCAAGCCCGCCTCGGAAGAGGGACCCCCGGAACTGAACCGCCAGAGTCCCAACTCGTCTTCCTCGGTGACGGTGGCCTCTCGGCGTGGGACGCACAGCGGGCTGGTGTCGGGGTTGCCCAGCGCCGGGGGCGGCGGAGGCCCGCAGCTCACCGTGCCCCCCAACTTGCTGCCGCAGACGCTGCTGAACGGTCCGGCCAGCGCCGCCGTGCTGCCCCCACCGCCGCCCCACGGCCTGGGCAGCCGCGGGCCCCCGACCCCCGCGCCCCCCGGGGCCCCCGGCGGCCCGGCTTGTCTCGGGGGCGCGCCGGGCGTCTCTGCCACGTCTTCCTCCTCCGCGCCGTCTTCCACCTCGGTGTCGGTGGCCGAGGTGGGCGTGGGTGCCGGCGGCAAGAGGCCCGGCTCGGTGTCCAGCACGGACCAGGAGCGGGAGCTGAAGGAGAAGCAGCGGAACGCCGAGGCCCTGGCGGAGCTGAGCGAGAGCCTGCGCAACCGCGCGGAGGAGTGGGCCAGCAAGCCCAAGATGGTCCGCGACACGCTGCTCACGCTGGCCGGCTGCACGCCCTACGAGGTGCGCTTCAAGAAGGACCACTCCCTGCTGGGCCGCGTCTTTGCCTTCGACGCCGTCTCCAAGCCCGGCATGGACTACGAGCTGAAGCTGTTCATCGAGTACCCCACGGGCTCGGGCAACGTGTACTCCAGTGCGTCCGGGGTGGCCAAGCAGATGTACCAGGACTGCATGAAGGACTTCGGCCGGGGCCTGTCCTCCGGCTTCAAGTACCTGGAGTACGAGAAGAAGCACGGGTCCGGGGACTGGCGCCTGCTGGGGGACCTCCTGCCCGAGGCGGTGCGCTTCTTCAAGGAGGGCGTGCCGGGCGCGGACATGCTGCCCCAGCCCTACCTGGACGCCAGCTGCCCCATGCTGCCCACCGCGCTGGTGAGTCTCAGCCGCGCCCCCAGCGCGCCCCCGGGGACCGGGGCCCTGCCGCCCGCCACCCCTACCGGCCGGGGTGCAGGTTCCAGCCTGCGCAAGAGAAAGGCGTCCCCCGAGCCTCCCGACTCGGCCGCCGAGGGCTCCCTGAAGATGGGCGAGGAGCAGCAGAGGCAGCAGTGGATGGCGAACCAGAGCGAGGCGCTGAAGCTCACCATGTCGGCGGGGGGCTTTGGGGCGCCGGGGCATGCGGCCGGCGGCCCGCCCCCGCCGCCTCCGCCCCTGGGACCCCACTCCAACCGGACCACCCCGCCGGAGTCGGCCCCTCAGAACGGCCCGTCCCCCATGGCCGCCCTCATGTCGGTGGCAGACACTCTGGGCACCGCGCACTCGCCCAAGGATGGCAGTTCCGTGCACTCCACCACTGCGTCCGCGAGGCGCAACAGCAGCAGCCCGGTGTCGCCGGCCTCCGTGCCTGGGCAGCGCCGCCTGGCCTCACGGAACGGGGACCTGAATCTGCAGGTGGCGCCCCCGCCGCCTAGTGCCCACCCGGGCATGGACCAAGTGCACCCCCAAAACATTCCGGATTCCCCCATGGCCAACAGCGGGCCCCTCTGCTGTACTATTTGCCACGAACGTTTGGAGGACACGCATTTCGTTCAGTGTCCATCCGTCCCCAGCCACAAATTCTGCTTCCCTTGCTCCAGAGAGAGTATCAAGGCCCAGGGGGCCACCGGCGAGGTGTACTGCCCCAGTGGAGAGAAATGCCCCCTGGTCGGGTCGAATGTACCTTGGGCATTCATGCAGGGCGAAATCGCAACGATCTTAGCCGGGGATGTCAAAGTGAAAAAGGAGAGAGACCCTTGAACCCACAAGACGGCCACCTCCTTTGACCTAGACCAGCTCCTCCAAGCCAGAGGGCCCCTCCACATCTATCCACATCTATCCTCTCTTCCCTCACCCCCCCCCCCCCCCAAGATGTAGAATTGTGAATATAACAAAACTGCAAAAAGTTAGTCTTATGTATAGACATTATTTTCGTCGTATGTTTCTATATTTTGAAACTAAGGTATGTAACTTCTTCATTTGAAGGATAAGCTGGTTTGTGTTGAGCAGTATAATATTGGTTGGGTCACATGCATCATACTTGTTAGCATTTATTTGGTGGCAGGGTGTTTGCCTAGGTACAGAATTCATAGCCCTTAGCAACACTGCTGCTGGTGTGTATTTTTGTAAATGTTACACGCACTCTCTAAAAGGGGGAAAAAAAAAAACATAAAAAGAAAATGATTTTTTTTTTTGCCAAGGCCAGTGTTGCTGCCTAAAAAAAAAATAAAATAAAAAAAGCTATAAAATGGTGACAGCTTCTTTCTAAACAGCCCCAAGTGTTGAAGTCTTCACTTTAAGTTGTTCTGTTTTGTTTTTCTGTTTTGTTTGCAAAAAAATGGTAAAAGGGGATGGAGGGGGTAGGGCGGGGCGTTTTTTGTTGCAAGTTTGTGAGGGAAAATGTTTGCGTTTGTTTCTACTGACCTGAATGTGTTGGATCTTCACGTGTTGTTTTGTTTTTGCTTTCTTGATGCACGGATGCTTTTGAACAGTAGAGCGAAATGCTAGACATGGAGAATTTGCTCTGTTTGTCCTTTATACATTTCTGTAGTTAACAGAACACTGTAATGTGCCTTGGAGCTTAGTAACTTGTAATAAATTCAATTGATATTAATTCTGCCCTGCGTCTGCAAGTGTGTTTTTCTAGGGGTAGGCCACGCAGTTCCAACAGAGGGGACACTCCCCACCTCCAACTAGAACACAAATGCTGGTGCCTTTGAAAGCTCCGAGCTGGCATCTGTAGAAGGCCCTGTGCTGGCTGACTGCCCCTCCCCTTCTCAGTACCAGGCTATTTACATTCACCTCTGGGGCAGGGACAGTTGCTGACTAAGCAGTTTCTGTTTACTCTTCAGCATTTCTATTTTGTCCCGGATGCACCCTGCCTCAGCTGCAAATGGCAGTTAGGAATGCTTTTTGGTGCCTTGCCTTGTGGCCATGAGTATATACTGATACCCAATGCACTATGATTTGTGCAAGGTATGGGGGGGGGTGAGGGTGGGGGAGAGGGGAGCATCTATGCTGCTTTGCCTCAGATGTGGTAGAAATCACTGTATTTGCACATTTAAAGCAAAATTGCCACAGAGCTGAGAGCCATCAATGGAGGCAGGAGAGGTGTGGGCAATTGGAAACAAATGCGTGTACTATTAAGCTTCCAGCTGATGCATTGGGAAAGTAATTTCACCTCATTCATTACACGTTTTTCTTCCCTCCCTTTTTGACAAGTATTTCTAAAGACATTTAGCTAGTTAGAAGAAACTTGTGGGGTGAGAGGAAGAAAAAAACACACACCCAAACCCAGTTCCTGAATAAAGGTCACTTACGCTATCCAATGAAACCCATTGCCCTGGTGAAGAAATGCAATTATTCTAATCAGCATCCTGGTGGCATTTGTGAGGTACACAGGGGTGGGGAAGGGGACTGGGGAACAGGAATGTCCTTTGGAGCTGTGAGCCCCCTTGGCAGTGTCCAGGCTGGAGCTCTCCCAGAGCTGGGGAAGGCAAACAAGCCCTGGGTGAACCTTGTCCTTCCCTGGGAGGCACGTGGAACAAGAGTAGAGAACAGGAGGGAGGAAGCAAAACAACCAGCAGCTGATCTGAAATCCATTCCTGGCCACACCCCATTCCTGGTGGGGGGCAAGCTGAGCCAGGACAGTTCCCACCGAGAAATAAGCAATAAAGGAAGACTTTTGGCGTGTCTCCTCCCTACAAAGAGGGAGCAGGAGGGTAGGGAGATGGTTTGGATGCCGGCTCGTTTGGGGAAAAACAAATCACGGGTTAGCCCAGAAACATCACCCGTGTGGAGGTGTGGAGGTTGGGTTGGTGTTGGGGCTTGCTGTTAATAACAGCCTTTCAGTTTCTGTTCCTGCCTTACCACCACCCTCACTGAAGTAGTGGAAACCATGACTGTGTGTGTGTGTGTGTGTGTGTGTGTGTGTGTGACTGTGTGTGTGTGTGTGTGTGTGTGTGTGTGTGTACATGGCAGTTGATGGATCTGCTGCAGCCTCTTAGTCTTGGTGCATGGGAGGTGCCTGGCTCACCTCTTTAAGAATCTCCCCACATATAAATAGATATTCGTGTCAGCTCACTGCGAATGTGTCCTTGCATTTTCATCGGCTGCCAAGTGTTGTATTGGTGCTTGTGAGTCATGAAACCTATTTTCATCCTCAGGGGTAATTAGCTTGGGGGTGATAATGCATAGCAGACTGTAGGAAGAGTTAATTCTAAAACCCATCCTTGCCTGGCTACCAATCACACATTTCACTTAGAGGTCTGGGTTGGCTTTTCTCATAAGCTCATTAATAAAAACCAAGCATGCTTCGCCTGGAAGATCCGCTGAGGTGCTCCCAACCCCCCACGCTCAGCGCTCACACACTCAACATGGGGAAAGCTCAGCCGCCTGGGGATAAGGATAGAGTGTCGCTGGTGTAAGTGAACCGCCGATGAAAGAAGGAGTGGTGGGTGCGGCCGTAGCATGGAACAGTACGCGATGTGTGCGGATTACCTGTCTGGGCGTGGGCCCTGCGAGCGCTGCCTGGTGACTCCAAGTGGAAGCAAGCCCTGCTCTCTGCCCCTGTGTGCACATCTGTGCCTGCCACCTGCCCCTGTCCCTTCATTGCTATAGTGTTACCTTCCGGAACCTTTAGGATTACAAGACCTTTGATTTCGTGCACAGAGGTGGGGAAGGGGCCTGTCATTAGAGCTGAGAACAGTGTAGCTTGCCCCCCTTCCTCCCCCCCATTTCGGTCTGTTTCTGGGTGCGTTATGAGCAGGAGAGCTGGTGGCTATGATAACGAGGCACCCAGCGAAGGTAGCCTGTGGGTTTCACTAAGGAAACCTGCCCTGATGAGACCTGGGGGAGAGGAGGAAGGGAGTGGGAGGGAGAAAGTGGGCTGGGGTGGGACTCCAGACTGGAAGTGAATTATAATGGCGCAGTTAATTAAAGTTTACCATAGCCGGGGGCCATTTGTTAAAGGGCTTCACTCCCTTCTCCTTTTTTGGAACCATGTGACCTTTCTCTTTGCTCTGACCAATTCAACTGCTAGCCTGGCTGCTGTGACCAGTCTTGCTTTGATCCCTCTGCGAGATTGCTCCTCCTCAGAAGCCTTCCACACGGCAGACCCAGGAAGCTTTTTCCTCTTCTGTACCTGGGCGTTTGGGAGGGTTTCAGAGATTCAGACGGAGGTCTGTGGGTGAGCCTGGGCTTCCTTCGCCTCCAGGCCACTCTGATCTCCCCCCTCCTCCATTGTCCATCCTTCTCACTCCCTCCCCGTAAGAGGCATAGTGGCCAGCACTTAAAAATTCATATCCACATTGTATTTATTTATATGCGTTGTCTGAGCCACTGACCCAAGCTGGATGTGTCACTGGTGGTGGGGGCAGCGGTGTAATCCAGGGAGAGAGTGAAGAAGGTTTTAATAGGTTGATTGGGGTCATTCTTTTTACCTTGATCTCTGAAGGCTGCACTATAGGAGATCCAAAATGTTAAGTCCGGCATTCACATGTCAACCTGCTCAGCCCACATGGGCCTGCAAGCCTACGTAATTAAATGTAGATTCAAGTACATCTAGCCCAGGCTGTTGTGTAACCCGTACGGGAATTCACTTTGCTTTCTCTCATACTTGATCCAATTAAGGACACTGGAACTGGGGATGAGTCATCAGGTCATCTAGTGAAATGCTTTCTAGACCTTTCTGAGCTTAGGGACACCTTAGAAAAACCCGATAAACATGATGGGTTCTTTCCTAGAACCTACAGGTACGCCCACTCAAATGGATTTGCATACATTTTCTTTCCTTTTTAATATCAAAGTTATGTATTTATTTTTGAGTAGATAATACATTCCTTTGGTTTAAAATTCAAAAGATGAAGGGGGAATACAGAATAACTGTAAGGTCTCCTTTCTATGACTGGCTCCTCTGCTATTCAGTGTCCTTCTGGGATACATGCAGCGTTCCCTGGTTTTATAAAGGGGTTTATGCACATGGAAAGCCCATCCATGGAACCTGAGGTTAGAACTTAGGTCTCCTCCATCCACCTCATACAGACTAGGGCCAGAGAGGTGAAATAACTTGCCTAAGGTCACACAGCAGCAGAGCCTGGGCTGGATCCCTCTTAGGGAACAGTTCAAATAGACATTAAAACACACACACACACACACACACACACACACACACACATAAGGACATGCAGCTTAATGAGGGCTGTATTTGAGAAAGGGTGATGATGAGATGGAGCCAAAGGAGAAGGAGTACCTTGTGGTGTGGGGATCAGTGCTTTTACTAACAAGCATTTTGCTCTTTGGGCTCTTGCAGCCAGACCTTCTGGGGAAGGGAATGTGTAGAGAAGTTTCTAGGTTTCTGACCGTAAATACCAGGTGGGCCTCAACGAATGGAGTCTTTTTTTCAACCGTTGAGCTGTGGACCTTCATCACCTTTCCCTTTGCTGATTGGAAATGTCTGAAGGTTTCAAGACAGCCAGGTAGGCAGCGATCTGGGCATGGAAGTACGTAGGGAGAGAGAAAGGAGGGTGGACCAGGGCTCCTCCTGCCTTCCCTCAAGTTGTCACCCACCTCTGCCTGGCACTCTCTCCCCACCGCTGAAGAGGGCACTGAAGGGGGATGTGAAGGCGACAGCAGCCTGCCAAGTGCTGGGAGAAGCACACTGTGCCCGCCAAACTCTAGTCCAGCCTGTGCAGAAGGTGTGATAATTTCCATTTTACGGATGTGCCAAGTGGGCTCAGAGAGGTCAAATACCCAAGGTTATTCTTGATATGCCTATCAGGCCCAGGCAGCCTGGAGCCTGGACTCTCCTAAGCTGCTTTCTGTACAGGGCCTCTGACCCCTGACCCGCAGGGTCCAGGTCTCAGTGTGAGCCTGGCCAGCACCAGTGAGCAAGGCTGTTCACTGAAGGGGCACTAGGAAGCCCCAAAGAGAGGGCATTTCCCAGGCTCTGTTCTGGGGACGCCTGGTGGTGCTGTCGAAGCAGTATGTCCAACAGGGGTCTGGAGCAAACCTGTTCTGCAGTTGCTCTCGGCTGCCTGCTACCCTCAAATTCAATGAAAGGATGAGCCCATCACTGTCCCAGCTCTGGCTGAACAGAGAGGTGGGCAGGAAGCAGGCGCGGTTCTAATCTCTATAGGGAAGACTGCCACTACGAGCTTGTTTTATGGAAAAAGAAGCGACAATTAACTCTTGGGCCTGCCTTGGTTGTCCCATCTCTTTTGGGGTCACTTACTTCTCCATGGGTACCATCTTGTGGACCCACAATCGGTGGGTCCTCCATTCAGGCTGGACTTAAGGAAAAGGAAGTGTCCCCACCTCCCCTGGGCCCTCGCTGGCTCAGTCTCTGCCCACTCCGGGCCATGGCTCCGTGGCAGCCCATCCTCTCCCACACTGAGCGTGTCCCGTCCTTGCCTGGAAGCCTTCCTTGGCTTCCCGTTGCCTACAGGAGAAAGTCCAAATTTCTTAGCACAGCAAGCAAAGCCCTCCACCATTTCTCCACCCCAGAGGGAGAGGATTTTAATTTTTAAAAAGGTATTACATATACATGGTTTTTTTAAAAATTCAAACAGCATGAAACGATACTCAGTCCAAAGTCAGTGTTCTTCCCTGTCCAGG